CCCAGGATCCAATGACTTTGATGGTCCGACGTATGACACGGTTCTGTGTCATCGTAAATGGCAAAGAAGTCATTTCTCGCATTATCGCTGCATGTGCTGATCTAGGCTTTCTTCCTACGGAGAAAGCTAACAATATGGTCAGCAAATATCAAGGTTTGAAATATAATCAAATCTCATATTTGGATTCTGCAGCTTCTCATCACATATCGTGATATGTCCTTCATGGTCACAGTATACGAAGTTCCAACAAAGGTCCTTGTAGACTGCAGGAGGTATGAAGATTATACCTCTTGGCTTTGTTTTTATCAGGTCGTCGTCTTTGCGGGAGTTGATTTATCCCAATTACAGGTCACGCGGGGACGGCCTAGAGTTCAAACGTGCGTTTTTACTGCTCAAAGCTCATCTCTCGGACATCATTAGCAAGGATGGTGAAACTTGGATGGAAAGCCGTGGATTGACTTGCTCGCAAAATGCTCAAGTCGCTAGCTGGACAAGGAATCGAGCAGCATGATGGGAATTTATCTCCCTCACAAGGATTCATCTTGTTGGCTTGTTGGTATTGATATTATCTGCTTAGTTTTGCATCTACAATCATGTTCTGCTTAGTTTATAACTCTGTTTATCATTGCACTCACGATTGACCTTGCCGAAAAGGATTCGCTAATGTCATATCTTTTACAACTTTAATATCGGTGAGATACCTCTGTTAGTCAACAACAACATACATTTCTTTTGGATTTGTTTCTATCGGTACTGACATGTGGTTTTGTAGGAATGGGTTTTAAGGAGTCTGTCTCATGTTTTATTTTATGTCATTATCCCGCTATCCCAATTTTTAACAACTTATCCTCTTTCTAGTTTCTCACACCTCCGACTTTTTCTTCTCAGTACATTTCGAGCATTATTTTGTCATAATCTTATACTCGCACTTCTTTTCTTTTATCACATTAAGTACAAAACACCTTTATGTAATAGGATTTTGGTCGTCTAACTCTCATTATGCCTATTTCGACTTGTAATTCATACGTTGTAGCTATTACGGTTTTGATCTCTCAACACTTCATTTTGTATCGATACAGGTAATCTTGTAAATGAATTAATAAAATATTTTCTTAATAAGTTTTCATGTATTCTTTTTTACTTATGCGTATGTGTCGAGAGCACTACATGGAGAAGCTTTTTCAAAGTGGGAGAAAAGTTGATCCTTATTCGTCTAGTGTTTCTGCAGAGAAGTGGTATCATGAAGTCATTGTTTGAAAAGCTAGGGTTGTAATTGAGCCACATTGCCCGTTGTTGGAGGCGTGCTGAGGGCGGCGCTTGCAAAAAGCAGTGAAGTTCCGCCCGCTTCATACCTCCACTAAATTTTGCCAACACAAGCTCTTGTTTCACCATAAATGCCGAAGGTTTTGAAGGTAGGCGCCAGACTATCGGCTTGCCTGCAGCAGAACGAGCGCAGAATTAACGTTAATTCTGCGTGCCTTCTGCAG